TCCTAAAGATATTAAATGTTATGTTTATGCAACGGAGGTGACAATTTGAATAATAAATAAAGAATTATGCGAAAAGGCATTGCAATTCAAACACACGCTGAAGCTGAATCTGAAGAAATTATCAACCGAGGAAATATTTAAAAAATCAAAAGCTTTGACTCTTGTATTTCTCGAGTATTAATTCAACTGAATCGGTTGAACAGGGTGAATTAGCTATAATTAAAAAATAAAGAAGACCACGGGCCGGAAAACATATTGTGGATGAGCCAGAACGTTTTCTGGCCCATCCACAATACGTTTCAACGCGTACAATACGTTTATTGTGGACGAACCGGGGGCACTAGATGAAACGACGATCTGGTGAAGGTCGCGGGAAGCACCTGGATGCGGGCAACACAAGACCTGTCGTGATGGAAATACTTTGTCCAGCTGTGGACGTCATTTGGCTGAAACAAAGAAAATCATAATAATATACACTCGTCTATTAGACCATGTTAGAAATTTTTGGTTCAATATTCATTAGAAGTAACCAGAAGAGTTTACTTTGTCGTACAAAACTACTCGTAGTAGTTTTATTTTTTAGTTATAACAACGAAGTTTCTTTTATTATCAAGCAAATAAGGAACTGCATTGCAACTTTTTATACACTCGCGAGCAAAAGTGTGGAATCACTTACATGAAGTTGTTTCCACGCGATCTTGTGTACTAACGAATTTGTTAGTAACAAAAAAAGTGACACCATTTTAAAGATTAAACTTTTAACTTTAAATTGATATCAAATTCATTTAAATTACACCAGTATTTAAAAAGATATCCCGGCTGATGTGAAGAAGTAAGGAAAAAGACATGTATCAACTGTTTGATACGTCGCGAGTTGCGGCCTATTTACCCCCTATAAAAGCACGTGTTTTCGGATTTTTGCTTTCACATGTTAATCCATACACATCTCCACTTCTTTTGACACTTTACCTGGGATTCTACACCTTCAGAAGCAGCACAAATCGTTGCACTATTGCAAGAAGGGCTCAGCCAGCGGGCTGTCGCACGTCAGCTCCACATAAGCCAGTCCTGGGTTTCGAAAGTTTTAAGACGCTTTCGGGAGGCTGGTGGCTTTATCCCGAGACCAAGTTCTGAACAGCGCCGGTGCACATCGCAGAGGGATGACCGTTTTTTCATGTCAACCTCTCTATGAAATCGTCATTTGACTGGTATCGACGTCCAGCAAGAGCTCAGAAATGTTCGTAGGATAGCTGTTAGCAAGTGGACAGTTTGTCTAAGATATAAGCAATAGAATTTGACTCCAAAAAGGCCTGCCTTAGGCTCGAAACTGACGGCAGGTCACCGACAAGCACGCTTTCAATTAGCTCGCACTTATTTTGATGGGAAGGCGAGTAATGAAGGCGAGTTTTGTTCTCTGATGAATGCAGACTGTGTTTGCAGTTCAGCAGTCGAAGAGATCGGGTCTATAGGCGGCCTGGGGAGCGATTTGTGCAGTGCTGGTTCGCTGAAACAGTGGCTTATGGGGGTGGTTGCTCGACTTCCCATCGAGATGTGTACGAGCAAATTGAAAGCGTGCTTATCGGTGACCTGCCGTCAGTTTCGAACCTGTGGCAGGCCTTTTTGGAGTCAAATTCTATTGCTTATATCTTAGACGAACTGTCCACTCGCTAACAGCTATCCTACGAACATTTCTGAGCTCTTGCTGGACGCCGATACCAGTCAAATGACGATTTCATAGAGAGGTTGACATGAAAAAACGGTCATCCCTCTGCGATGTGCATCGGCGCTGTTCAGAACTTGGTCTCGAGATAAAGCCACCAGTCTCCCGAAAGCGTCTTAAAACTTTCGAAACCCAGGACTGGCTTATGTGGAGCTGACGTGCGACAGCCCGCTGGCTGAGCCCTTCTTGCAATAGTGCAACGATTTGTACTGCTTCTGAAGGTGTAGAATCCCAGGTGAAGTGTCAAAAGAAGCGGAGATGTGTATGGATCAATGTGTGAAAGCAAAAATTCGAAAACACGTGCTTTTAAAGGGGGTAAATAGGCTGCAATTCGCGACGTATCATACAGTTGATACATGTCTTTTTCCTTACTTCTTCACATCAGCCGGGATATCTTTTTAAATACTGGTGTGATTTAAATAAATTTGGTATCAATTTAAAGTTAAAAGTTCAATCTTTAAAATGGTGCCACTCTTTTTGTTACTAATAAATTCGTTAGTACAGAAGATCGCGTGGAAACAACTTCATGTAAGTGATTCCATACTTTTGCTTGCGAGTGTACTTATTACGTAATCTGCAAATGTTATATTTGGCAAGATGTCATGCTTCTTATTACCGAATCAAGGATAAATATTTACTTGATTTGGGTTGTAAAACAGACAAAAAGAGTAACCCCTTAGTCAGTGATTATGGCGTATACTTAGCTTGACAGAAATATTTTATTCTTTCAATATCTAAGAAAGCGAACCGAACTCTTTGTCTATCCATCCAAAGTTACAGCTTCTAAAATGCTATACATAATGATATGTACAATAATGTACATCATATGTACCCCAAATTGTATCCTCCATATCATTTCATAGGTAATATACAATAGACCGTAATACTGTCGTATCTCCAGTACGTTTCCAGAACATTACCCGTGGATTCGAACCGCCTCGTAAGTCATATTGTGAACTGTTACAATGTATATTGTAATGTAATAAGGCATTTAATGTACTTATACTGGAAATCACATGGAATTGTACATTTTTGTCACAAAGTATCTAAGTATTACTACTTCAAAGATCCCACTGTTAGTTAGATTCGTAGTCACCCAAATTCCTTATCCATTACGTATGTATCTGACGGTTTAAATTTGATTTTATGACTCCGAAGATTCGTTTCGTCAGTTATGTGACTTGAGAGATTTGATATTTGAATACCTACTTGAGTAAAAATACTCAGGTGTTCTAACACAAAACAAAATACTTTATCTCCCTAAGGGTAGATTCGACCAAACAAGATTAAATATTAATCTCAGAATAAATCGTCAGTTTTCACATATTTCCCATACTGAAACTGTCAATGTGCCAGTTATACCAGGAGTTATTCTCGGATAAAAGTTTGGTCGAATCGGGCTTAACTCGCGTTTAAAATTCCTACACACTACCTGCCAATTGTTTCTTCCGCCATTAGGTACTCACTCAGCATATGCCGATATTTTCTCCCTAAGTGATGATTTGTTGTTAGGTGACATGCCTACTTACCTGGATAAGAGTCCAATAAACATTGTAACATGATAATTACACACGCCGATATCAACCTTTCCTGTAGAGCCGTCGATTCATAAAACCGTTCATAACTATCCCAAATATTCTTTTGTACTCCTTTCAGAAACCCAATCGCACCGTAACTTCCTTCCATCCCACACACATTATTTAACCACGCAAATCCAACCCTGCCAGATGCAATTGGCTCAATTTTCAGTCGATTAGGGTTGAAACAAAGCGGCCGCGGGTTGAGGAATAACGCTGCATTAGCGAGCGATTATCGAAAAGAATCGAAGTGCGTTAACCCTGTCGGGATCCGACCCCTAAGCTGTGTGGGGGCTCAGTTTCAGCGGATGAGAAATGAAATTGAGCCTTTTCAGGACTTTACGGGATTACATTTTCATCGTTTCAGCTCAGAGATCACACCTTCTTTGACACACTTCAAGAACAGGTGAACTAGGAATTAAAGTTTAAATAAATAAATAAACTAGATAGGTAGGTTCTATAATTTTGGTGTAAAAAAATATTGTCTTACAGTAACTGGACTTTTAGGAATTAGCACGAAAAAAGTAGTTTGTTTGAAAATGCTTGATCTTGAGCCATTTTCGTTTTTAGAGATAACTTGGGACCGGGACAAACTTGTTCTTTACTGGTTAAGTTGTATAAGCAGCCAAACTCTAAACAAGTAATGGGAACGAAGGGTTCCCGTTGAGGAAGAAAATCTTATAGCATATTTAAGTCTTTCCATCTGATGATGGTAGGAGAAGACTGATGTTTTCTGTTACCCATCTGCCCATAGTACCTTGCTGAGATTGAGATTAAATGGCGTTGTATAAAGGATGCCCAAGGATGCATTTTTTACTTTATCCGCTATCATCAAGTCCCCACTTCCTAATTCGCGCGCTGCGGCTGCCGCCGGCATTAATTCTGGAGACGGAGCCGACAGCCCAACTGTGGTCCGCGCCGAACGATAATGGCTCCCAATTCCTACCCATAGTACCTTTGTTTAATTTTATACTATAGTCCGGTCGCCGAGCACGTAGAATGTCGTCCAATGACCCCAAGCTACCCATCCTTATCGCTCGCGCGTATTTATATTGCTGTCGCGACGGACGACTGATGGGTAGCTTGAAGTCATTGGACGAAATTCTTCGTGCTCAGCGACCGGGCTTTAGATGGGGTCAACAAAGCTTTATTTTTATTCATAAAATCCGCCATAACTGAGTCCCCACTTTCCCACTTCCTAATTCGCGCGCTGCGGTGGCCGCCGGCATTAATTCTGGAGACGGAGCCGACAGCCCAACTGTGGTCCGCGCCGAACGATAATGGCTCCCAATTTCACACCTCGCAGGATTCTTTTGCAGCATACATTGTGAGCTTTTAATTTGGTTTGTTAGAGAGCAATTGATTTGATTATACCTATTCTGTTTTCAAACATTTATGATGGTCGCGATGCGATGCGATTGATTCTGATCTCAGCATTGGCCCATTTGTTGACCCGAAGCAGTGGTCAAAAATCAAAATCAAAAATATTTTATACCTAGAAAGTAGTCACTCACCGCCCATTCAGACAGTGCTAGTTTAGGTTAAATTTAACAAATAACATACGTATTAGTTTAATGGACATGGCNGAATTCCATTGTATCGCGTCGTAGCAAGACTCGCATTTATTTAAATCGTCTTGCGGAGTAATCCTTCTGTACCTGTACTATTCCTTATATAGGTCCGAATTGCTTGGAAATTATTGACAATATTTTTGTCTATTTTCAGAAATACTCTTCCCCGTATTGGATATAACTAGGTTAGCAGTTAGAAACAAGGATATCAATGGGCAAATATTCGACACGACGTACGGCCCGATGTTCGTCAAATATCTTCTGTCTTTATTAGCGCCAGGTATGTATCCCAGTATCTGATAAATCATAGGCAATTTTGTCAGAAATTGTTTGAAAAATAGGGTAGTGCTTAGAATAGATTTGCAGAATTTTCCTAATAAATAAATTTCAAAAACTATGCTGTTGTATAATACTATCACATAACAATGACATATTGTAATAAAATTAGCTATTATTGTTATGTTGTATCAGAAACAAACAGAAGATTGGCCTACACTTTCCATGCTGGACAGACGGGTTTCGGAGGCCTGTAGCCCTATTCACGTAACAACTTCAACGACAACAAAACACTGAGTTGCGATCCTATCGAGTAATCGTTCCATCATAAATGACCCTTGTGAATACGGATTTAGAACTTGTTTTTCAATGGGACGACTTCTGTACGTCAACGAGATCTTGACTGTCAAAAAAATACATGAATGAGGGTTTTCGCGAATGAAAGATCCGCTAGATGGCGGGACGTGGATGTGGGGTCTGACTGCTGCGTGATTGGTGGATTTTGACATATCTGTCAATGTCCTTTCAAAAATAACCAATCATGCAGCATTTGGACCTCGCGTCTACGTATTGCCATCTGGCGGATTTTTCATTCGCGAAAACCCTCATTAGGCCACTGATCTTCCTTACATCCACGGGAAGTGTTCCTAATTTAGCCTCGCTGGAACAATATAGGTATGAAAACGTAAATGAATTTATATTTAAATGGTTTTCTTTTGTTTTCAGATAACCTGCCAGCGAACCAGATGTTAGCGATGCGAGTTTTAGTGAACGCTTTCAGCGACCTGCCTGGAGAGATGCTGGTGCTTGCTGCGAGAGACAGCCTCGTGCATTGTATCATATGCCTGCAGCAGATGAACAATAACGCGCAGGTCAGGGTTATGACGGTATCTTTACTAAGCGTGTATTTAAATAGGCAGTGCACATAGAAATAATAGTAGTTTGAGTAGAAGTTATCGAGTGGCGGCCACGATCAGGTAGAAGGGGAGGTCTCCCATTCGGTGGACTGACGATCTAGTGAAGGTCGCGGTGCACTTGGATGCATGGTCGGTCATTGCGGAAATAATTTGTTTTGTCCAGCAGTGGATGGATGTCCTTTGGTTGAAACGAACCCAAACAGTTCAAACTGGAGACAGATGACTAAAGAGGCTAGGTTTCTAAAAGTATTCCCACCTAACGAGCGAATGCTATGTTTGTCCTGGGAGAGAGTTAAATTGCCGGTCTATTCTTTAGTGTCCTCTGATCACCCCTATATAAACACCTACAAAAGTGAAATAGATCTAAAGTCCGGTCGCCGAGCACGTAGAATTTCGTCCAATGACCCTAATGCTACCCATCCTTATCGCTCGCGCGTAATTATATTGCTGTCGCGACCGTGGTCGCGACTGTGGGACGGGCAGCCGCAGTGAGTGTGTGACGAAATTATACGTGCTCGGCGACTGGACTTTATACCTGTTAAAGTTTCTAAGTGAAATATAATAGGCTAGATGACAAAATTTCAAATTTTTGTCCGTCAGACAGATAATTAGAAAATATTAGCATATTTTTTATTTTCTTTCATACCCAATTTAATAATAACAGTGCTACATCGAGTTGAAATGGCGCGTCACGTTACGCTTGAGTAGAATTTTTACTCAAAAGTGACGTCACGCGACATTCAACTCGATGTAGCACTGTTATTATTCGATTATGAAAAAAAAACATGTGTCCAAAATGTTTTTATTATCTGTCTGACGGACTAATAGAATTTCGATTTCATTACCCAGTCATCATCCCTATACATTTTTTGTGCAGATCGCAGCAGCCTCCCTACTCCTGAATCTGTGCGTAGCGTTGGCGGCGCAGTTGGACACGGCCGAGCTGGCCGACTGCCTCGTGGCCGTGCTGCCGCGACTGCACGACAACGAGGCCTACTTCCGGTAACCACATCTCATATGCAATACATATTAGCAGGCCTGTTCATCTCCGCGAGTTTACATCGAAAACAAAACACGCACGATGGCCCACCTACAGGATACTATTCCACAAGGCCTCACATACGAGCGAACATTGACTCACGCACGCGTATTCTTGTGTATGATGGAAGGAAATAAAGAAAATGGTGTACTGAATACTGTGCAGTATTTAACTGCCTAAATAATAATAAAAACACAGAATGTACTTTTTTAAGTTGCCTCAAGACACTGAGAGGTAAATAAGTAGTTAATATTATTCATGATAATTCATGCTAAATCATGTATTTCCTCCGCCATTTTCCGCAGTTTGGCACCTCACGTCACATCACTTTACCGAAGTCAGCCCTATAGCTTCGGCGCAGTGCCGATCACTGACGTTTGTCAACAAAATGGTGCTTGACTCTTGAGACAGGCTAAATTACACCATATTGTTAATGACATTGAGCATACATTTTTTAAATACCTTCGCGAAGTAAAACTTCTGTACGTAGTACTTATTATTATTCTGTGATATTAGTAGTAATGTGCTGTGCGGATGATACATATTATCGTTGCAATGATTACAAGTTGTTTCCACATCAGCCAGACAGTTTTGACAGTTCCAACTCCTTGTCAGTTTTTTTAGCATAGCTGCCATAGCCACGATGAGCCAAACTTCATGATTCACCAACATTATATCCTATATTGGGAGCACACGCTGACAAACTTTCAGCTTTTATAAAATAACGTAGGTCTGGCGTTCACCGGCTCTTAGTCTAAAAAGTTACATGAATGTGTTAAACTTTATGCTTTATGTTTTCCTAATAAAGAAAATAAATAAATGAGTCAAGCTCTCGCAATCACTGAATCACCTTTGTTCAACAGTAGACAAACCATAGTAGTGACTCGTAATATGTATGATATTTGAAATAGGATATTTAAAAAATGCAGCAAGGTTCTGGAGGCCGCGTACCGGAAAACGCAGCGTGGGACGTCCACCCACAAGGTGGACCGACGTCCTGATAAGGGTAGCAGGAAGGCGCTGGATGCAGGCCGCTACCAACCGTGCGATGTGGAAGTCATTGGGGGAGGCCTATGTTCAGCAGTGGACGTCCTGTGGCTGAAATGATGATGATGATTTAATAAATATTTAACCGCAATATTTTCTGATATGTATAAGTTATGTTTATAACTGAAAACTGACTCGAATCATTCGCACTGGTTTAACTCGAACTTCATAAGTACTTACCTAAAACAATTCTTCTCCATTCCAGGGCCCTCGTAGCACTAGGCACTCTGCTGGCCGAGACTCCCAACAAGCTCGTCATCCAAACCAAGGTGGTATCCAGCGCACCTCTACACAACCGCCTGAAGCGAGACGCCGCGTCGTCCGACGCCGCCATAAGGAAGCTGACGGTGGCCTCACAACAGCTGCTGCGACTGTTATAGTGCATTTAGTAATAGTGGCTCTCGAGAGAGGTATTTTCGAAGCGTTCGAATCGAATCTTGCGCTCGGCTGGGGACAAATCGCGTGCGTATTGTGGAATCGACGTTGAAGAATAGGGGGTCGAACACAAGTCAATTGAAATACTTTTTATGAACTGACAAATAGCAGTTTCTCCAAAGTTTATTGAAATATCCACATTTAACAGCACTTGGAGATTTTGGTTATCAAAGTGCTGTTAAATGACTAATGATTTGAATGATGATTTAAATAGCAACTAAAATAAAATGCTTTTATAAGTTCGTTCAAATAATTATTTGTATATGTTGGCCGATCCCCTATTCACAAATTGGCTTTTGAAAAATATCTTATTGAAATTCGTATGCTAATCATGCGCATTCGATTTGGAATTCGAATGTTTCAAAAATACGTTCCCAGTTTTGATTCGTTCCCATATTTGGATGAACAGTTTTGATTCCTATTGGCCTTTTTTATCGTGTGGTTTGTTGTCGGGTATCGATCGGCTGAAACGGAATTTTTCGATACTCATTGGTTGTATAAAGACCAATAGGAATCACTGAAATTAATGACACTTTAATACTTCCAGAAGAATCACAAGCGCAGAAATAACATGAAATGAAAACTTAAGTCAGTACAGACAACGGCATGTAAAGCTAAACACTGGCATCTTATTTAGTTGTAAGAAGTGCTATTTTGCAAAGTTTTTGAGCGATGCGCTATGTGATTCCACAATTTTATTCAAAGTTCTTGCGGTTTAGAAGTGGCAGCGTGAACCAGTTTCAATTGTTTGTGTGTTATGATAATGTGCTAGTCACAACTTGGTGTTAAGTAGTTTTATGGTCGCAGAAGGCTAGTAGACAATACTATTTCCCTGATCAAAGGACATTGGGAACTTTAATATGAGAAAATGCCCCACGGCGGACAAAGATGAAACGTATTTTATTTCAAAGCTTTATACTTGTAGGTATATTCACTTAAAGCGCTATGTTGTGAGATATGGGAATTCTGAGATATGACGAGTCTAAGTTGAAAATATATTTGTCTAAAATGATTTGATATTTTTACATGTTATGTTGTTTGGCATTGCAGAGTAACCAATAAAAGTAAATAAAATAATATAAATAAATAAAAAATATAAATAAAATAATATAAGTAAATAAAATATTATAAATACTTAAATTAATATTAGACAACATCTCATATATTACTCCAACCCAAAATAAGTAGCTAAGGCATTTGTGTTATGGAAATCGGGAACGACAAACCACAACACACCCAAACCAGAGACAATGTGAAAAGATCGTTTTCTATATTGTCCCGGCCGGGAATCGAACCCGGGACCTCAGGATTGGCCCGGCACCGGAAAACCGGTGTGTGCGCCTCTCCGCCACGGAGGTCGTCAAAAATGTTACCTAAATGTAAAATAAAATAAAATATTAAAACTTCATTTTCTCAATATTCCCATATAAGAGAGAAAAAAAAATGCACGGTAATTCATTGGATATTAGTATGTATCATCTGTGATAGGTTTCGTTTGTGTCCGCTACTTTTCAAAAAGTGGGGCAAAAAGTTCCCAATGTCATTTATTTGTTAGACAATAAAATGTACTAATGCATGCAATCCAAGACTTCTTCCATTGGATATTGTCCTGGACTGAAATATTGCAACTTGTGTCAAAACCACGTTCCCGTTACAAATAATGCTAGCTAGCTGCGACTGATACATTGATTTGTGTTGTTGGAGTAAAGTGTATGGATGGAATCTTCATAAATTGCAAGAACTTTGTTGTGCGATTGTAAAACAATACGAAGTTCATATATTCACAAACAGAAGCGTAAGGGACTTCGTATTGTAAAAACTTTAAATTATGACTTTTGACGATATGTTAGCAATAATGAGATCAAACCTAATGCTAGAAGATACTGTCTAAAAAATAATAAATAATAATAATAATAATAATAAGANTAGCAGGTATATTGTCCCACCCAGTAGCGCAATCCAGACGTAGAGCGCCTATGAGGTTTAGAACTTGCTTGTGGTCAACCGGCATCAACACAAACGAATTTATTTGTACCGGGGTGGTAGAAGAGGGGACTGTGGATGTGTTACCGATAGGGACCACCTTAGAGGCAAGTTCCCTTCCTATGCTAGCAAAGAACCTGTTGACCTCATTGATGGACGCTTCAGGGGTAGCCGAGATATTTAACAGCTCTTTGGGAGACTGTGGCTGAATGGTTGAATTGGTAATGGTTTTGATGACCCTCCATGTGTTTCTGGGATTGTTCTTGGCTTTAAGAAGTTCGTTTGTTTCGTACGTTCGCTTTAGTTTCCGTATCAAAGAATTACAGAAGTTGCGATATCGAATGTAGGTAATTTTCAGGATTAGATTATCAGGAAATTTCTTCACTCGCTGGTGCATTTTATCTCTATTACGGATGCAACGAACAACGCCAGGTGTAATCCAGGGTTTGACTGGGAGGGTTTTACGTCGAGTCCTAATGCGGGTTGTGTGTTTATGGATAACCTCTTGGATCAGACTTATAAACAGATCTGCTGCTGCATTGGTATCAGAGGTCTCTAGTACCGCTGAAAAGTCGATACTATCTACCTCGGCTTTAATAGCATCGTAGTCAATGCGAGGGAGCAGCCCACATGATTTAGCTTGCGTTGGTTGACTTACTTTCAGGCCAAGTAAAACGGGTAAGTGGTCAGTGACATAGGTGTCTAATATTAAAGCAATGGCTGTACTTCCAGTTCGCAACAAGATGTGGTCCAAACAGTTATCACCTCTGGTGGGAAGTAAGTGAGCTGGCAACAAGCCTAAGGCTGCTGTCAAGTTCAAGTAGTCGGCCGCGTGACGGTCGTGATTACCAGTTTTTATGTCAATATTCAGGTCACCAATAACCACAACATTTCTTTTAGATTTCAGAGGAAGAACTAGGTTTTCTAGACTGACATAAAAATTTTCAAGATTTGTGTATGATGGTGATCGATACACGCAAACAATAGCAATGCCATCCAAGTGGCAAATGAGGCAGTTTGCATCGATGAACTCAGGCTCTATAACAGTGTAGGTCAAGGTGTTTTTTACATAAGTTACAACACCATCATTTTGTTTGCTATTTCTGGTTGTAAAATGCGATGTAAAGCCCTGCAGAATGGGAAGGGCACCCGCGACCAGAAGCCAACATTCAGTAAGCACTATAACATCAAACTCGATCTCAGTCATATTCAGAATCATCATGAACTCGTCAAAGTTCTTTTTAATACTTCTTATATTGATGTGGATAATTCTAAAATTGTGAGCAGGTGTTATAAAGTCGCGACAATTCTCAGGGCTGCACCTATTCGCGACACTTAATGAAAAAGAATCAATTTCGTTTGTTACATTAGTAAAATTAGCCATATTTAGTAATTAAATTATAAAAACAGAGAAACTATAGATTAGACAAAAAAAAAATGAATTAATATTAGTTATAACAATAGACTAAAAGAAAGAAAAAGTCTATAAGATTGAATTCAAGCCGCTGCCAGTTGAAACACAGTACTATGTAGAAAGAGAGCATAAGTGAAAGAGGAGAGATTGCCGTTGTTGAGGTTGGTGTGAGGTGTGACATAGTATTTTTGGTTTTGTGAAAAAGAGTATGTGCATGAGAGTTTGTGTATAGTGTATTTAAGTCTATTATAATTATAATTACAACTGAACCGTATAAGATTTTATCAGAATGGTCGGGGCTGTCAAGTATACACCGGAGGACTAGTCAGCTTTGTTCGTGTAATTTATCGAAGTCTGAGTCAGCATTTATGCGTATGTGTGGGTCTCCTTCTCTCTTCCTTATATAAATGCTCCCATTTGCTGTCCAACAATAATTATAGTTGTTTAATTTTGCAAACTCTCTGCTCGAGTGGAATAGTCGCTTTAATTTAGGGGTCAATGATTCACCGATGTATATCTGCTGCGGTTTGCCTTCAATGTGTAAATGTTGAGTATTTAGTTTCTCTGCTCCATCTACTCGGTTAAATTTTTTGAAAGCAGTGATAAGTTGTGTTTTCTTCATTACATTAGACAGTTCCACGATGATGGGTTTATTTTCACGAGCTTTCGAACCAATACGGTAGACGTCACGGATGTCCGTGGTTTCTATAGGAATCTTAAAGAGAGAACCGAGTTTACCAACAATATCACACAAGCAATCCTTTGTTTCTACCTTGTTTATGGGGATATTTCTTATTTCCAGAAAGGTGGCGCGCCCCTTTTTTTCAAGGAAATCGATCCTGTCCTCAAGTACAGCAATATGCTGTTGGTTATTTTTCCTCTCATCCTCTAATTTATTTATCTTGCTATTTAAATCATCATATTTCTGTGACATAAAATCTAATGTCTTAAAAATCTCAGCATTTTGGTCCCTAATCGCTGTTATGGTGTCTTGTAGTACAGTTAATTTTTTGTCTTGATTTATTGAAAAATTGGTAAAGTACATACGCATTTCAGCCATAAATGCGCGCATGTCGCTGTGGTCATCACCTTCAAGCTGCCTTTTGTTACAGTGTGAAATGAATTTTTCCGTTTCATTCGGGTGAGGAGACGACGGACTCGAATCTGAGCCCTCGGAGGCACCCCGCCGTGACTGGTGCTGGAGTTCTGATTGCTGAAACTTGACCGTACTCGACGCGGGCTGCGGGTGAGCGGCGGCCGCTCGGTTGTTAGGCGCGCCGGACGCGCACGGCGCAGGCGAGACCGGTGGGGTTCGTTTTAGCGGCATAGCTACCAGGAGCGTATAAAGCGAAAGAAGATGACTCACGCAGTGCCGGTCTCGGCGCCGTGGGCAGGCGATGCTGGAGGTGCACGCGCAGTATTGGTCGTGCGGTGTTACGCCTCCGGGGGCGGGCAGCAAGCAGCAGTGGGCGGAGTCGATGACGACGGTGACTCAGCGTGCCGGGTACCAGGAGCTTGCGGCCAAACTACCTCTTCACTGTTTATGCGCTCCTATTTTTTCACTTGGATTATTTCGCCAAAAATACTTTAAAATTTATGAAATAAAATTGCGTGGCTTTAGACTAAAACACGTCTGAACTCCTCAGAGGTCCGGGGGGGAGAGGAGGAAAAGCAATAATTGAATTGAAAACTCCAGTTTATATTGAGATTTTAATATTAAAACCGTATAGAATTTGATCTCACCAGTTTCAATGCCTTACAATATAAAACACCATGTAATGTTATAAAAAATAATTTATTTTACACAAGTCGTAGCGATGCATGTTCTACAGTTGCTTGCTATAGAATGTTATCAGTGAAGTTTTTTTTATTTTTAATATAAACAAGCATTAAATAGCATTGATAATAAAATTTAATATTACATAACATTTTTTTTATTTCAATACCCTATCACATAATATTTATTCACATTTTGAGTTATTATTAAATCTACATTGAGAAACTTTCAAAATGAATTGAAGTTTGTTTGTATTGCTATTAACAGAATCGTGATGACGGCAAGTGCACGATTTTTATTACACTATGTTTATTTTACATAAAACAGATCATATAAATAAATACGTATAACAAAATATAAACAGATGTTTGGTTGCATCATACGGATATAAATGACACCAAGTAAAAAAGTAATAATTGGCTTACAACTAAACATTTTCGTACTGATGATATATTAGTATAGTTTTCATCAATGAAGCTAAACTTTCATCAATAGCGATATACAAATAAATATTTAGAAACTGTTTTAGGTACCTCAACGAGAAATAAGGATGTCATGTCATTGTCAAAATCAAATAACACCGAACTAACTTTTAAAATAAACATTAGAAAATGTTTATCGACTTAATTTTTATGCTGACAAATTACGCTGTTTTGCTGTATTTGAGATATATGAGCCCATTTTACCATTACATTCTAAATTTCCATTGATTAACATACCAGACGCTATCAGTATGTACATATTTGTGACCCGTTAATCGTCAATATAGATTTGATAGCGAAAGAAAGATTTAACTTCATTATACAAGTCATCGATTTAAATTAAGACTGATCCGAACAGTGTGAAAATTCAACTCTCATTACTTTTTCTTCTTCAACTCCTCAAACCGGCGATTCAGGTCATCAAAGTCAATCTCATCGGGCGCGTTCGGTGTATTACCAGATCCTGATCCTGGCCCATTGTTGCTGGTCCCAGAGCCGTGGCTGTGAGGCACTGAGGGCAGGATGAGGTCGGAGGGCACTGAGGGAAGTTCCGGGAGTTCGGGGAACAGGTTCGGTGCTTGGACGGTGCGCGGCCGCGGCTGCGGTTGCGGTTGCGGTGGTTGCGGCGGGAGAGATGGCTGCAATGTAAAGTTGTTATGTTAGTCATCGGAAATAGAGGTAGACGCAATCTGGGAGGACATGAACCCAAATGGTGAATAATGAAAATCAGTCACTATTTTACCGACCCGTGCTCTTTTTAATACAAATAAATTAGTGGTTTGACAATGTAACATAGAAAAAGATGCAACACTCGATTCTGCGTAGGTATTTAGCAGTTTAGCTTTTCCAATAAAATAAGACAAGCAGTTGTACAGTTCATAAAATACTAAATACATTTTATTTATTTATTTATTTGTAATAGGTACAAACAGTTTACAGTCTAGTCTAGTCTATTTTAAGAGCAAGTGGTTAACTATATGGCTGTGCACAAATTAGAAATTAGCGCCTTTATACACTACACTACAAAACTTGGGCAATAATATAATAACACTATAAAATGTATGAACATGCAGAGCGGGGAATAATTGTATTCATGTCAGTCAGAATTAGTTTTAAGCTCAGGGTCAAGAAATTAATTTGAACTAAACATAAAAATATTATAATTACCATATCGTGATTAATGCTGTCATAAGCAGGTGGCAGATTATGCATCTCATCCTGCAATAAGAGGAGATCATTACATTCTTATAGGAATCACAACATGCACATTGCACATAAAATTGCCATAAGTAATGCATATGAATGTAAGTATGTACCATACATTCATAATATTTTGTTTGGGTATAAACTTGGCAATAAGGAAAATACTTCAATCATACCAAAGAAAACCAGTGTCAGTTCGAATTTGTATACAAATTGTTTCGTTTTCAAAAAAAAATTATATAAAAAACAATGGAAAGGTATATGATTGCTACAGTGCAATGATGTTCTGGCAGCGCAGGACCGTTCATTGTGGAAAACCTTGGGGGAGGCCTTTGTCCAGCAGTGGACGTCATTTGGCTGAAACAACAACAATGATGTTCTGACTACAACTAAAATAAGCAAAAACCAAATTACTTTAAACAAATACACTTAAATCCATGCCTATGTACAACAAACAAATCACATTCTATCAAATGCAAGCAAAATCTAAATAAACATCAAACCTGAAGAAAACTGTTGCTCAGATTTTTTGAGTCTACGCCTGGGGGTAAATTGTACCCCATAGGAGACTGACTGGGACCACCGTAGTTGCCAGGAGGGGTTGCTATGAACCCACCAGCTTTTCCATGTGAAGGTTCCTGAAATCATTTAATTGTTCATATGTTTATATTGTTAAGTTAACAATAATACATAGTTTATTTTCAATAGTGACAGAAAGATTTTTCAAACAAGACTAAACTTAAAACTCATCACACTGGAGTTTATTCTAATTTATGTTACGATTTTTTTTATTCTGGAACACGACGTATCACGTAATAAAGAGTTCAACATGACGCGCGATTCAGACGCGTTTATCTGTAAAATGGTACAAAAACCTTGCTCTTGGATTGCTATGCACTTTTTTTTTTTTCCTTTTCCAATCTGCTACTTGGCAATCTGTTTCCGCGAAACAATAATCCAATAATCTGTCCGATTTCAATCCGGTTCTTGAGGCGTTCAGTAAGAGACTAGTCCAGTGAGTCATCTCTTATTCTTTCACTGCGAATCTTTTCGCTAGGTTTTGAATGCTATGCACTAACCGCAGGCATATTATGCTGTCTAAAAAACTTTATAAGAATTGCTAAACACATTGAATGCTTACCGAGGGATAGCTAAAGGGCTGTACGCTTGGCATCTGAGGCATCTGCATCGGGTATCCGATGAAACCCGGCGGGTTGGGAGGCCCGCCTATGTCGATCAGGAGCGCGTCACGGCCTGTAATACAAAACAAGTGCTGTATAAGCGCTCCTGCACACGACGCCGCCACCACGCCGCCAATGCGCCGCCGCCGCGCCGCTGGCTTTGACGGCGCGGCGGCGGTTTTACTCGGTGCGTATGTACAGTGTAGCGGCGCGGCAATGGCGGCATCGTGTGCAGGAGCCCTTACACGGTTATATTTAGCTATACTTGGATTATGTGGCAATGCTTAAGTAATGGTAAGCCCAAAAAATATGTTGTTAAAAAGTCTGAATCTAAGGCTGATTTGCACTTTAAAGCTAAGCGTCCACTTGTCGGTATCGTACGCAACGGACGCATCGTACGAAACACATCGTATCAGATGTGCGAAGCGTACGATGCGGACAGGTGGACGCACTTATATGAGTTTCCATATAAATAATACTAAGATCCGTTGCGTGCGATACGTCCGATGCGTACGATACCGACATGTGGACGCTTAGCTTAACAGTAACTTTAACGATAACTGGTGCTTTTTGTATGGAGTTTGTCAAATTTTTGACGTTTGTTAAAGTTAAAGTAAGATGCACCATCTTACTTTAACCAGCCTAAGTATTTTCATAAGCTGTTGCTAAAGTAAAAGGAAAAGGCACAGTTTAGGACACCACACAACCTTTCCTCCTCCATTCATTACCCACTTTAAAAAAAAATACAGGGAAGGTGATGCAAAGATAAAATTATGAGTACATTTGCTATCATATTAAAAATCAACAATCAATAACATAGTACCTTCTTCCTCCCCCCTCATGACTTGTTCATCAGGCGTATACTCCACATTGTAGTTCTTGGCGATCTCTATCAAGTACTTCTCCACAAGTATCTTGGGAGGGCTCTGTACGGACAACTTGTGTCGCAGCTTCTCGCTGATTGTGTTCACACTTTCGTTTCTACAAGCGTCTGCATAGATTTTACCGTACTTCGCAGTTAATAGATCTGAAATTACTTTCAATTCCTGAAAAAGAAAGTTATCTTTAAATGTTTTTTTTTTCTCCATTTTATATCTGCAATCGACTTGGGTCGTAATCAGATGTTTTGTCTTGGTTTTTATTGGGTATCTCAGTAAATTCTCTCCCTCACGCCCATAGCACACCTCCGCCACGAAAACATGACAGCGAAACTATTTCAATATACATCTCTGAAATCACACCCCCACATTAGCAACGAAACCAAGTAAACGCAGAGATGTATATTCCTTTTGCTGTCATGGTTTCGCGGCGGAGGTGTGCTACGGGCGTGAGTCTTTAAAAGTGAAAATTTATTGATAAAGGCTGTTATAGTGTCAAGTAGCTTATGAAATTGTATTATTGGAAACATATAAAACAATGTAATAATATGACAATTCCTAAATTAATCATTTAATTACAGACAATAAAAATATTTGCCTCTGTAATCTTGCATTCTTAATCAATGAGTGAGTATTGCATATCATTTCACTATGAAATCATACTATCATAAACAAATACAATGCATATCTTTAAACATGTTATCCCTACTAACAATAACAACCCTGACACACCTAAACAAGAGTAATACATAAATAACGATGTCTTAGAATCTGGTCTAAGCTTATTAGGGTTTATTATAAACTGTTTTTTTTTTTGACATAGTTATTTTAGTCAAAGACAATGATTGGTGAGATACAAACCTGTACATCTGTATGCATTCTAGGAGCCACCCAAATCAGACTGGATATAGACTCTGCAAGACCCTCATCCAATTCCTTCATTTGTGTGACAAGTCCAAACCTCGCCAGGATGAGGTCACAGTACATTTCTACTATTTCCATTGCTTCCACCATGTAATCTTCTCTGAAAGTAGAATTTTGCCAGATTTAAAATACATTAGAGACTATGTACTATGTAATTATGTACTTTGTTCCATTACTGTATAACAGGTTTATACTGTATGTACTTTAAGTAATATTGACGCAACATTTGAGCAATCAAAGGATAGTCTATTAATTGACTTTCAAGGACATTTGGAAGATCACTGCGCCTTTGATATTCATAAAACAATACATTACCTGATGATATGTTCCACGCGAATTTTAGCTCGTTCGCTTTTCCCAGCAGCTATATAATCCGCAATTTCCTTGCGTGCCTTCAGAGCTAGTTCTGTTTTCTTCTTTTCTAACAACTTCAGACGATTTAAAGCTAGCCGCAAATGAGTTTTCAGCTTGGAATAGTTAGGGTTAGTTGAAAACATGTTGGTTCGCGAGTATTCACAATATAACACAGAAACTTATAATGTCCTATAAAATTGCTTGATGAGTAATACGACAAGGGATTTATAATGTGATTACAATTTGTTTGTGACTATGAATCATCATCACAAATTCATTTTTCCCGTAATCCTCAACAAAATGTCAAATTGACAAGTAATGACATTGACGTTTTAATGACATTTAGTTTTTTTTATAAGCAATGGTAGTAAAATTATAGTTTTGTAATTAAGAAAAATTAAATAGTTGTGATTTAAACTAAAATCAAAAACTTAAGAATAGATGTACTAAAAATCATCACAGCATTCGATATAATTCATAAGTATTATTTTCTTTGTTGCATGCAGGGAAAACTGGGACATTTCTGTTACCTAGCGCGACGAGATTAAAACTACCCACTCTCAACCCTCCGAGCTGCGAGCCGACACAGAAGACGTTCTGTGCTGTGCAGCAGCAATTAGGATATTGTTATTTCGACAAGCGAGGGCAGTTCGCATCCATTTGTTTACATAAACCCAATGAAAAAATAATAGTGGCCCACTGTACTACTTCCGGTAATTATTCATAATATTACTTATTTATTTGCTCATTAAGTGTAGGTACCTACTTAAGGTCTTTAACTAAACAGTGCTTAAAACTTAGTAACCTAGTTGAGGTATTGCAAATTTTTTTGGAGGGCTGCATGCATAATTATATAAATTTTATCCTAAAATGTTTTATTGATTTCACCCAATTGGGTTAAAACTGGATGATTTGGGTTAAAACCAGTTTTTTTCCATTATCACCCATTCTAGTGGGGGAAAATTAAAATAGCGTTTTTTTTAATAGTGAGAAATTCACTATTGGACATTTACCCCCGCCCCTATCCTTCCCTCGCTGAAACTTCAACAAAGTCTTCGATCTCCTACTGATATCAGTCCACCACCCTTACCATTGCAGAGCCCACTCTAACCAGCCTCAAAATCTCCCAGCCTCCCCTACTGAAACTTCTGGTATGAAGTCTCCTGCACCTCTCAAACTTGCAAAACCCCCTAGTTTTGCAACCCCACCCGCTAATTCGCCTATCTCAGCCCCCCTCATCACCTCCCAAACTGCAAAACTCCAAGTCTTGTCTCTCCCCCCATGTCTTTGCCATGATCACAAATTGTGTTCCTTCTAAATCGGTTCAGCGGTTCTTGAAATAACAACATTTTATGAAATGATCGGTCACCTCACATCATCATAAAGTGATCGATTTTACGATTTAGCCACGAGCCCACGATATGTATATTAGTGTTAATATTTGACTTAGTACATAATAATTAATAAACTTAAATGAGAAAAATTCAATAAAAAGAAATTATGACATTGTTTTTACCCGCTATAAGTAATCACCCACGGGTGGAATGTTAGGTACCTAATGGGTTTTTACCAGAGAGCAGAAATAACAATATAATATATTATAATAATAATAAGTTATTTCTGCTCTCTGGTTTTTACCCGTGTGGAAACCCATCTCTACATGCATGCTATAATTATGTATAATTATTTGTAGGTAATATTATATTCTAGGTATTTATTACAGTCTCAGTTGTATGTAGGTCACAGATAGTCATGTATTATTATTTAAATCTAACATCCTTCTATCCATATCTGTGTAACATCCGGTTAAAGCCGAATGTGGTCGTTGGAATTTTGATAAGGTCCAGGAAAAACACTGATTAATTTACAAAAATTAACACTTTATTTCATTTTTTAAGAAAGTACAATTTGATAGAACTTATTCTATATGCAGCGACTAAAAATAAGTTTACAATTCGCTGCGTAAACGATTCTTCAGTAGCAAATTAATATAAGTACACCAAGAAGAGTCAATAATGATGGTTTATCCATCAAATGACTCAATAACAACACCTAGGATTATACTTTACTACGTGGATATGGCTAAATTATTATCAGTATGATAATAACACAAGTAAAACAGTTTTTTTTGTACAATTTTTTGTGCAAGAATTCAGTAGGTATTTATGTTTAAGTATAAATCTAGGAGACAAATACATTTTGTTTTTTTCAATTAACTCTGTTTGAATAGTTTAATGAAAATACTGAGTCAAGTAATCAATTAATACTAAAAGACTAGGAAAAGTCACATTAATAGTAAATGGAAATTAAATAGGAAGTTATTTCCCAGGAGTCCTCTGATACCTAAATTTTAGACATATACATACTATACATAATAACAATACATAAATTATGTATGTTACTACACATATTAAAACTAGGTAGGTCAGTGTTTTCTAATTATAAAAATAAATACATAGGTACTGAATTATGGCACTGAACATTATCTCTAACAGTAGATATATAGGCATGTATATTTATCTTATGTCAGCATAACATAAACAAATGTAATAATAATCGCCTTCTTCATAAAAACTTTTAACATTAAATAATAAGTAACCATTGATCACTAATTAATTTAAGTTACATAATTGTACCTTAAAATAATTTAACTCTCTTATAACAAAGTAGTACTTAATATTAATACTTTCTACGAAAATACATTTAAATTTTCGATGAATAAAAATTTCATTGTGATTTTGAATTGACACCAAGTAATTTTCAAGGGTGGATGATCTAAAAATCGTGAGATTCAATAGCATTATAAATACTGGAAAATAATACTTAGCAAATCAATACCTAATTCATACAAAAAGAATTGATTTACTACAGAAAGATCATGTTTTACTTAGTAGGTGAATATAAACATCGAGATGAAATTCAAACATAATAAGGTAAGAAAGAGAAATCAACATAATTAATTATTGATTATGTTCAAGCTAAGCTCGTTTACATACCATATTGTCGAATATGAATTATTAATTTATGCGATAGTTATTGTCACAATAATAACGTTTTCCTCTTGATTTTATCAGTTAATTAATCGATAATATTTACAAAAAAAAATAGTTAAGTAGGTACATGAATCAAAATAGGCATTCACTTAAAAAAATCAATTAGTTTTGCAGAGAAACAGTAAGCTTGTAAACTAGTTTTGTGAGCGTCACAATAATACTGTTCGTAAAATTGTCATAAATACTCCAAAAAGTTTATTTTCTTATAATATCAATTACATCTAAACATTCAGTCCTTGTCACAAGCTATATTATTACTAGTAATGCTAATTTTCTTATCAACTTTATTGTGAGAAGTATCGTAGTCCTCATGGAGCACCACAGTGGTGGCGCTTACACTGGAAGGACTATGCGAATGAGTTACATTTGTACGATTGCTGTCTGCCAAGTGTTCCAGTTCATGGCTTTCTAAATTGGGTACCCCAGAACAAATAGAACTAACCCTCGATACAGATTTATGTTCCTCTGTGGGAGATTCCTTCGAAGAATTTTTCCCAAATAATTGAAGCAGAGAGCATAAGAAAAATGTAGCATAAAACCAACTTACTGACATTATTAATGCAAGAAATGTTCCGATTTGGAAATACGGAAGAAGATTAGAACGGAGAAGAAAAATCCCAGCTAAGCCGGTAGTCAAAGCAGCGGCAGCAGTTGGTCCGGCGGAGGCCGATAGCGCATATTTGACTCTAGACGATTTAGTACCACTGGCATTTGTGTAACTCAGTGCATAATGCAGACTAAAGTCAACAGCTAAGCCAGCTGATGTCGATATAGCTACACTTTCCAAAACATTCAATTTCCAGCCAGATAAAACCAAAATCGCTATAGTGACGGTAGATGAAAAGATCATTGCCGTCAACGCGCAAATACTAACTACGAAATTTAATGTCGCCGGTATCAACACGACAAATCCTAAACTAGCCGATAAAATTAATGCCATTACAGTGCCACTGGCTAGAGTTCTTTGGAGATCATAAAACTGGAAATCAGACAAGAACCAACCACCTGACATTCCTGGTGGCGCAGATTTTAATTCTTCTTGTGTCCAGTTTTCAACATGCAAGAAGAAATTATTCATACTAGTATACGACATCGAATATGGGACTACACTTTCAAATTCAACTACCATAGCGGCTACAGTAGGTGGCCTTGCGCTTCTTAAAAATTTGGGACCAGCCACCCCAGGCATAAACAACTCCCCACGTGTCCCATATAAAGACTCCATGGCTTTTATAATGCAATATTCAAATACTTCTTTTTTATAGGGGAATGGAGATGACTCGCAGCAAGGTGTTCTATTTAATTTGTCAATATTATCAATGCACCGAATACTCATTAATTTTTTGAAACCTTCAATAAAACAATTTGGCAAAAGAGGTCCAAACATTGGCTGATAGAATGGTTGTGCTTTTAATTTCATGCAGAACTTTAACAACCATACTTGGGAGCTTGGATCAGACACAGAAAATGTCTCATCAAAAACCAAATGTCCTGTGGAGTATGGGTCCATATGGTTTCCATTGTCAATAGCTTTAGCGCCCCATATCCATCTTAATGGCATTCTACTACCTGTGCCAATGTCTTTTCCAAATCTTTCAAATAGGAATTTATCTCTGTACTGCATTTCATACTGTTCTACAGGATGTGAAGACTGAAATAGTTGAAATTGTCTGGACTCTGGCAGTTGCAGCCCTGGAGAGTAGAACACTACAACAATACTTCCAATCCCTATAGCACCCAATGACATAACAAACGGCATGTGTAGTTTCATTACACATGTAATAATGAATCTACTTAAAACAACTATGATATCTTCCCAAATCTCATTAATAGCTTTCTGAATTACATCTAATACCTTGACATTACTAGTACACAATTTAACATCTATAACATACACTGATACAGGCAACCAACTAATCATTAGTAAAAAGTTTACCATAACCGCCGTTCCTGCAAAAACGCTAAAACAGTTAATAGCTGGAATGTAGCTTACATAAGAAGCGAAAAATGCAACTGCAGTCGTCAAAGTTGTGATGAACATAGTCACGATAGAATGTTTCAAAGTTTCCTCAAGGATTTGCACGAGGATTGTTTCTCCAGCACTTGATACATTCTTGATGTCAGTTAAACAGTTATCTTCAGTCACCACATTATCTCTTATGAGCTGTTTACTAACAGTGATCCAAATTTTAACATAGAGAAATGCATCGTCAGCTCCAATTCCTATCACAACAACTATCACTAGTAAATTCATAAAGGGAAAAAACTCCAAATTGAACACATAAACATACAAGAAGTATGCTATTCCAAGTGAATATGCTATTGCCGTAAATAACAGCACAGTAAGAATTACAGATTTAGTGTAAAACCATACACCTATAAATACAAAGATACCTCCTAAACCTATTAGCCAGGTGTCTTGAATCAACAATGCATCAAAAAGAGTATTTTTTAGTCCGAAATCCATGGCAGGTACAGTAAGAGCATCATATGTCAAATTTGAACGTTCCAACTTTACATAATAAGGTAATGAAGTAACACTATATGGCAAAGGAAGAAAGATCATTGCATTTTTCACAAAAGTTTGGGAATAATCTGTTGGGGAGAAAGCCTCTGAGTCTATGATATAAAACAACAAATTGTACACAGCATCATACTGTGAACAATATTTTGGGACCTTACAACGGTCCAGGTCACACGATGCCATTAAAGTAAAATTGTGAAAATAGCCAGCACATTTCCGCAAAATACTAACAGCTGAATCTACATCCTCCCTGGTTAAATTTTCACATGTACTCTTGCCTGATATTAAAGCTATGTAGTTTGGCACACTCCAAATAGGGCAGCAAAGATCTTCAGAATGTGTGTTCCGCTGACACAACTTATAATATTCAGATGTTCCCACTTCTACAAGATGAGTTTGGAATTTACACATACTATATACATTTTCAAATGTTAACAATGATGTATTATCAGAACTAGTTACAACTAAATGGGCATAATCAGAAACTGGCGGGCCACAAGTACCTGACGCGTAGTTGAGGTGGATGGGCTTGTCGGGTCGTCTCTGCATCTGTTTGATTGATAGCCATTGTTTCCGTCTGTGTTCCTTTATAAAAGCAGCATTTTCATCTTCAATAGAAACATTGATTCCAAAACCCCAGTGCACATGTCCATTAGATATGTTTAATTCAGGTAAATTGAACAACTTCTTTTCAATTCCTGTACTATTGTTTTTGAGTTTTTTCTTTTTGTTGCGATTCTTCTTTTTTGAGCGGCCGCGACCTGACCTGGGTTTATCTGGTCTGGTTCTATTGTAGTAAGTATGATTCATACGAATTTGGTCTTCAATTTCCTTAGGGTTAACGGCCAGTCTCCGAGAAGGTCTCGTTTCGTCGATCAAATTTTCCCAAGCAATAAAACGGTGAGCCAGTGCAGTGCCGCGGGTCTCAAACCCAACCAAAGGATCGGAAAATGATGGCAATTCGTGACATACCAAAGGAATTACTGTAAGTATTGTGGAAATCACACTTATGCTTCCAAGAATCAGGTAGGGGTGGCGAACAATAAATCTGGCGTAGGCAGACAACATCATTTTGTGTAGATTTCATGAGCTTCATAGTTATTATTCCTCTAATCCATCTTCTTGCATTAATGTAACAACACATACTCATTTAAAAAGCTTAAGAAAGTTTATTTAATACTGATAAAGAATCACATTTTTTAATGGAAGATGGGGAACTAAAAATTACACAAAACCACTGCTTCATTGAGAAGAATACACACATTTGATGAATTTTTCATTTTCAGAATTTGACGCTGTCTTTTTTTGATTGACGCATGTCATATAATTTTGGGGTCAAAAATTACTAATGACAGATTAAAAATAGGTAGAAACGGGTAAAACTGGGGTACAACATCGAGAACTTAACTTTATCCTTTCCAATATCCTACTAAATAATTTCTTTACAATATTTAATGAAATAAATAACAGGGCCTGGGTCATGATAATATGTTTTAAATTAACCTCGTTAATTTATTGTTAATTTCTTTGATATTTCTTTCTGCTTAATTATCTGTGAAAATGAACGTGACCGCAAACAATTTCCAAGCTGGCAACATTATTATTGTCTCTGACATCTTGTGATCACAAGACCTCTCCGTTTTGAGTTTTCTGTCAAGGCAAAAATTGGGCGAAAAAAGACCGTCCCGAACGGGATTTACGGGTAAAAAGCTCCAATTTGCTCAACAAATATCTCAAGATGAGATACTTCCTCACTTACCTGTTTGTGCTCCTTCTGGGAATCGCTATCACAGTGTTCTCGTTGTACTATCTCCTGAATGGAAAGGGTGAGCAAATCAGTGTAGGATGGTTCTTGGAGAACACGTCCCCTTACATGTGGGGGACGTTGGGAATCGCGTTCGCCGTGGCCTTCTCCGTGGTGGGCGCCGCGATGGGCATCCACACGACCGGAGTGAGCATAGTCGGCGGAGGTGTCAAAGCGCCCAGAATCAAGACCAAGAATTTGATCTCTGTCATCTTCTGCGAGGCTGTCGCCATCTACGGTCTGATCACCGCCATCGTGCTGTCGGGTATGCTGGAGCGATACACAGAGCCCCTTGTTGACATTACTATCAAGCAACAGAACTGGATGGCTGGCTATGTGATGTTCGGAGCTGGGCTTGCCGTGGGGCTGGTTAACTTGTTCTGTGGTATCGCCGTCGGGATCGTGGGCTCTGGAGCAGCCTTGGCCGACGCGGCTAATGCAGCCCTGTTCGTAAAGATCCTAATTGTTGAGATCTTCGGGTCTGCCATTGGTCTCTTTGGACTCATTGTCGGTATATACATGACGTCAAAGGTCAAGATGGGTAACCAGTAATGTAAGAAGAAATGGAACTTGAATTTAAGTGTAAGTATAGACTATTTTTTATCTTGTTGAAAAAGTCATGCAAACATGAATTTTACCTTGTCAGTTACTGATCAGTATAATAATTTTGCATTGAATGACCTGGCCTGTCATGTGGCAGGGTTTAATTTTCTTCTGGAGTAGGCCTTTCTTTGGTCTGTCTAACACAGAATTGACATTAGCTACTTGTTTCTCCCAGGGTCCGTGGCCGAGTCCCCCAGTTTTCGACGCACCCGTGGTCGACGCCCCCGGTCAGTTAAATTCGATTTGAAGCAATTTTTAATCAAATGTACAGTCAGGCACAAAAATTTTTATAAACGAATAAATATTTATTAGGCCAGTAGAATTAAACACAAAAATGAATCTAATGAAATGAAAATAATTCCTACAAAAGTTTTTTGTTTCTTACTACTGCTGGTTTTGGGTTAAAATTTTGCTCCCATATTGCATAAATAGCGTCAAACATGCATAGTTTAGTATAATAATTAGCTTGTGAAACTNAAAAAAAAAAAAATGAATTAATATTAGTTATAACAATAGACTAAAAGAGAGAAAAAGTCTATAAGATTGAATTCAAGCCGCTGCCAGTTGAAACACAGTACTATGTAGAAAGAGAGCATAAGTGAAAGAGGAGAGATTGCCGTTGTTGAGGTTGGTGTGAGGTGTGACATAGTATTTTTGGTTTTGTGAAAAAGAGTATGTGCATGAGAGTTTGTGTATAGTGTATTTAAGTCTATTATAATTATAATTACAACTGACTACATTTTCGTCAGCATAATAAAATTTACTATCGAATGATACGTACATTAGAATTAATAACCAGAAAGTTAATTCTTCACTTTAGAGGGCGTAGCGGTCAAAACAATTTCAAATGCCTAAGGCGACCCATAGTTTAACATTGGGATGATGACCTAAGTAATTGTTGTATAGTATACCACACGATAGAAGTTTGCCAATAACTTTCAGACACTACCAATCAAGCGTACCATAAATGAAGACTAATTTGAGCTTTATTTATGTAATGATCTTGCAAATCAATCAATTTATAATTCCTTAGTATTCTTATTAAATCTAGCAGCCTTGTGACTGATCAAAAATAAACCGATATTTCACACTAACATAAAAATAAATTGAAACATTGCGAGTGTTGAACGATCCTGACAGGTTTCAATTTCAAGCTGGTCTTAAATGTCGGGCTGTGGTAAAATTAATTGTATGCACATATCCACTTAGCGTGTCTGAGAGCTGCCTACATCGGTTTCTAGATCGTGTCAGTGGCGATTACTATTTACTATTGCTTCTCGAATTTAAATTATTTTTAGCACTGTCTTATTACTTCCAGTGGGATTTGTATGTCATGCTTTTTGTTTTTTGTCCATGTTGGGTTGTTTACTTTGTTTTGTGAAAGTCGGTATCTCTGATTTGAAAAATATCGTATGGTTATGAAACCATTTAGTAATTTTGCCTCATGAGTGACTGTCAGCATACCTATTATTCCCGTTGTATTCAGATTTCCAGAAAATAGAGTGGATGGATGAAAAAGCGGGAGATGAATAAACTAGTGTAGTGTAGGAAGGAATACCTAAAATCTCAACCAATTTACCAAATCCTCTTGAATATAATTAAATAATATTTTTCAGTTCCAGTAGTAAGGTGAACAGATCAACATTTACCGGCTGTCAGCTGCGCGCGCGCCCTTTGCATAATAATTGATACTGTTGCTTTTGATCGAATATAGCTTACCTACGAGTGAGAAATGTTTCTAATAGTTAGGTATAATATTTACTTGAAAACAAATCAAATAGCGGCGCATGGTTGGGAAAGCCGACCCCGCGTAACCGAATTAGGCGAGGCAGAAGAAGAAAAATGTTTACTTGGAAAACAACTGGGGTGCCGAGATCTTTCACATGAAGGAAGAATGTTTATAACAATCGTCGGATCACCACTAAGCAATCAAGTCACTGAAGTAATTGTTAACCAGTAATTAATTCAGTTACTGGACAATTTTATTGAATCCCCGTTTGTTGGGTGAATATTTTCTTGTAAAAACGTTATCGAACACGGGCCTCTCGTCCATCCATCAGCCGCCAACAAGCCGTAACGACCACGCTAACAAATGCGCCATTGTTCAGAAGCCAGGGGTTTAGGGTTGTCAATATGATCTGACGTAATTATCAAGATATTATAATTATTGTTAGGTCTTTGGAATTTTTATAGATGGATAATTAATGTTACTTGAAATATAATAAAAACCTTTTTAAAATTATTGGGATAAAGTATTTTTATTTTGTGGAAATCTTACAGCAAGATGACTATACTTGTTCAGGTTAACAGGGAAATCAAATTGGACCAACCCTCTCGGTTGGGCCATTGATGCCAGTGGCGGCGTAGCATGGGTTGGCACCCGTCCGATCGATCACCCCCCCCGTCACAAGTCCTAAGGCACCCCCTGGTACCCCCCAGGATCTTGTTACCTACCGATTCGAAGATTGAAAGACAATCGCACCCCCCGTATCAATGACCGATGCCAGTGAGTACTAATCTGCGCGACTTGTGTCACCCCCTGATGCTTGGCACCCGGGGCGGACCGCCACAATACTGANTGGTACCCCCCAGGATCTTGTTACCTACCGATTCGAAGATTGAAAGACAATCGCACCCCCCGTATCAATGACCGATGCCAGTGAGTACTAATCTGCGCGACTTGTGTCACCCCCTGATGCTTGGCACCCGGGGCGGACCGCCACAATACTGATTGATGCCATTGTGTGTGACTCCCATGAGGTACCTACATTATTTTTATGCATTTGATGTTAAACAGATCATACAAATTTTCAGCATTAGATGCCAAAATGTTTTGAAAAATTGTCACACGGTTTCTAACAGTTGTTTGTTGAGCGACAGCCCTGAACAACCACGACACATGTCGGCCGGTGTCTTTGCGATTAATAAGCGCGCGCGCAGCTTTCGAGCTTTGAGTTATGCTTCCTCTTCGATTTTGTCATTTGTGGCGACGGGGAAATTACTATAATTTTTCAGAAATATTATGTGGGAGGAAATCTCCACGAGATAGTGTTGAAAAGCTCTAGGAGACAGAAACAATATTTTTCGTAAAGTAAATCTAATCTAGAATTCCATGGTTATGAATACACCGTATCTTTTGTTACTGACTTTTTTAAAATAAAGAAACAAAGAACAGACTTATTGAGCCGTCTAAACATCACACGTAGCATAACGTGCCCTTCGAAAACCCTTCAATGTTCTGACCAAACTGAGAATATTTTTATAGGCACATATGTAGTAACTTTTACACTCATCTAATAATCGTCTCCGTGGTTTAGTGCTTTGAGAGAGACTCTCACTTTATTAGCATGGCTTGAATTACACGGCTGATTCCAGACATCAGATGTCTGGTAACAAATATCAAGTGATTTCATATTATGTGTAGTCGTAAGTCTACAACAAATTACAACTCATGACGATGATGACCACTCTGCCAAAAGTGTAACGACTGAGAAGAAGGATAGAATCCAGTGTCTCCAAAAGTCTCTCACCACTGGACTCTGGCGTTCAAACCCAGAACCTCCAAGAAAGTAACGCTCTCACCACTGGACCACAGCGTAACATTCTGTATGTGTGTCATACATACGCGCGGGCGTGTGGACTGGTTTGTATGAGGCAACAATGGAACTGGAACTATTAGAATATAGAGCAGCCCTGCGGGTTTGCTCGTGTTCAGTCTTATTCAATCGGAAGAATACTTTAAAGATTTATATTTTTTCCAGACAAAAAGAGTCTCGGTATTTGGTATATGGATTTTTTATTATTATTATTATCGCAAGTCTTGTCTGATGGAATGCCTACCTATTACGCATCGTCTTCTTGAATCACTATTATTAATGATGGTTTTCTCGTCAATAGATACACTTTAAATCCGTTGCAAAGAAGCAGACGGAGTGTTTAGCACTATGTATAACGATTTATACAGGTTTATAAGCTTTTTCGACTCTCTTAAGTTAAATGACATTGTAGAGTTTACAAAGCCCTCTAGGCATACGTGCCAATATCTTCAATTTGCGAAAGACGTTCATATTTCTCGACATCATGACATTTATACGCAATTAGGGGAGACCGAGCAGAGTTGTAACAGAGGAGGGTTGAGACATTGACGATTTTTTGGAACTTATTAACTACTAGCGCGCTTGTAACAGTGCGCGCTTTTTAGTTCAAGTCTCGAGCTAACAAACTGTTGCGAGCTCGGTGTTAGTTGATAGGTTTAACTCTCCTCGGTTACAAATCTCCTTGCGTAAACTTCTTCAGTAATTGAATCGGTCAGGCCCAGAACAGACGGTGAAACGCAACTGCAACGAAACTGCAACTTTCTGATGATTCTGATGAATGAAACTGAAACCGAAAGTTTCGAACTTGTCGCGTCATGTGTGGTCTCTCAACGGACGCTATGACAGAAACTTAGATGCAACTCAAAAGTAACTAGCAGTTGCAGTTTCGTGGCAGTTGCGTTTCACCGTCTGTTCTGGGCCTCACCTATCCAGCGTCCACACATCATACCCCAGCTAATAGATACACCCATAGGGGAACCTGTTGTACTTAGGCCAGTTTTTCGAATTTTGATTTTTTGAAAAATAATGGTGATCGTTAAACTTGTCTAGTGCAGTTATATTTAAAGATCATTTAATTAACTACATAATTCATTCATAAAATTGTGTATAATTTTAAAAATTTGGGCATACTAGCTGCTAGAAAAAAAAAGGGAAAACTGTCCTAGGTACAACAAACCAGATGTACCTTGGACCGTGTACATTGTACCTATTTAAATTTAAATAAATGCTTATATTCGCTTCAATTTGTTAATTTTCTGTTAAATTATTATTTGAAATACCAATTATTACAGTTATTAGCAACAATATCTAAGTAAAAGTATTTTTTTAAAAAGATCCTCATCCATATTTTTTGCACTAATTATTTTTCACAATTTTTTGGCAACAAATCACTTAAGTTTAAGCCGGCTCT